TACTAATACTACTACTACTACTACTACTACTACTACTACTACTACTACTACTACTACTACTACTACTACTACTACTACTACTACTACTACTACTACTACTACTACTACTACTACTAATAATAATAATAATATAAAAGTAAGTATCTCTACAATGTCTTCATTGCCATAACATCATTAGATCCAAATGCTTTTCTCCCCCCTCCGATATATGTAGAAGATTATGAGGAAGTGAAGTTCAACCCCACTAGGACCACACAACGAGCGATAAACATCCGGTGACACAAAATGCTAAAATTCGGATGCGAATCGCCCGGGCACAAGTCCCAGAAACGCGGCTAAATTGTTTGGTTATATTAGGGCTCCCGACCACAGTCGAGATGGGGCTTTAAAATAAAGTCCCATATTGGGATTGAGTGTGAACTAAATATTAGGAAAAATCAAACTACAAGAACGTGAGAATAACATGGTAGGTTGTAATTTATACACGGTGAAGACACAAATACATTTATACAGAAAATATAACTCCAGTTCTTACTACACTGCCAGCTGATGGCTGGTAAACACTTAACGAATTTCTGTAGTATCGGATTGCAAATTAATTCAGGTCACATAAAAAAGTATTCCTACAAGTAACTATTAACAGGTAAGGCATCAATCAATTCTGGAAGCTCTTAAAAAGCTACAAACTGTCACAGATAAGACGAACATAAGTGAAGCTGAAAAGAACCTCCACATAAAGTTACAACCAATAACAGACATGTAGTGTTGTGGATACCTTCTCACTGTGCTTAAATGAAGAGCAGATATATTAGTAAACTAATATATGTACCAATCAACATACACAGAGGCGTATTTAGAATGTGCACTCCCTTTTCCCTCAGCGAAACTTCAGCATCACTTTTGCTATACTATTCCAATACCAGAACGCGAAAATTATGCATGTTTTCTAACGACAAAATTATTAAACTAAAAACACGTTACTACTAGTTATGTGTTGCCGCCCTTAAAGTATTGTCCTCCTAAACAATTTTGCCACCCTGTGCAGCTACACGTGTTTCACAATGCCTAAATACGACGAAACAATACTGGCATTATTAACAGGGAATAGTGTCTTAGATAATATTTGTGAGTAATAACGTGACTTCATCTTGAAATAAATCTGCTTTCATTATGTAGGCATGAGTCATGGGCGGTGAGAAAGCCGACAAGTTCGCGTTACCATTACAGAGATTCTGTCCTGGACAAGAAATCTCACCGAACACCGTAAATGCATTGATCGGTCTCTGTTGCTCCTCCGTGCTGTCGGTACCGGGTTAATTAATTGTTTAAAATAAAAATATAACCTAACCTAAATCTATGTGAGTATTTAACTTGCTGTAGTTACTGTTTATTACTTTTTTATCCGGTTGTCGTTTGCTGATTTACATTTGCAACATTTAAATAGTGTTCCAAAATAAAAATATTTCCACCCCCCATTTGGTTTGGTCGTCTGCAGGACCTCGTTGATTTGTTGTTGTAACCGAAGTAGTGCTCAACAAATATAGCTGTGCTAATGTATGGTCCAAGAAGGTTTTTAGAACTAGTTCCTGTTGGATTATAATTCTGTAGTTGGTGCTGTAATCCTGCAGGCAGAAATGCTGGAGGGAAACATGACCTACCTACCAAGTGAATTCAGATTCGGGAACTCGAAGGCACATTTATTGTGACAATATCAAGTCTTTGGCGGATGTTGAAGGCAGAGGTTGAATCGAAAACAACAATGCCCCCCCCCCCCCCCACAGTACCCACAGATTTTTAAGGGCAGAGGTTGAATCAAAAACAACCAATGCCTGCCCCCTTCTCCCCCAGTACCAGCATCTCCCCCCCCCCCTTCCGTACTCATCACAGTTACAGTAGAGCTTAAATAAAAAATTATGCACAATAAAGGTGCTGGTACTGTGTATCTTGACATATCACTTGAAGACAAGAAGCTCTGGCTGGAACTTTCTAGTGAGCTTATTACGTCTTAGACAGGTAGGGAAGGGCTACAGCAAGAGACTACGAGAATGCCACACACACAGAAGAGGGGAGTGTAAGAAAGGAAGAAATAGACAGAGAAAGAGAAGGGAAAGACAAAAGGGATGGAAAATTTAATTCAACATTTTAACGTCTCTACCAAGTATACTTGTTTTCCTGTCACTGAATGCTATGCACTGATTTAGATATTAAGGTGGTTGGTGTTTTTTTTCTCTCATTTTTTTAAATGAAGGTATTAAAATTTATGTATTCAGCAAACTAATTGCAGTATCCTCAACATTTGTTATGGCAGACCAACACTGTTCTAATTATTATTTGACACTGTCTGTCCTAGAATGTAGACTGTTATTATTTCTAACCTCCTCCTTAAATGTTGAATTGATAAACGACATCAAAGCACTTGGGACACTCCCATAAGCTTTCTGTCCCCATCATCAGCAGCAAGCGAAGAGTTTCAGTTCTGATGGTACCAGTAACTGTCTGATTGTATACCTGTCTTGCCTTTCCCTTGCGTTTTGAGCATCAGATCCCCTGGTAACCCCTCACAGCGCCATTCTCCTCATACCATAATGATCTGTCTGCACCTCCACACTGTTCACTCACCTCCAAGGGGCCATCACAACATCTAGATGGTTGTACATCAATTCACCACCAAGTGGTGCAGAACTGGCCAGTTATCTGCCTGCTCATTTCCTAGTACACCCACATCACCTGGAAAAAATATCCAAAGGTCGCTAACTACCCGGGACCTCTGAGGTGATTAATCTCCTCCTGAAACTGACTACTGTTATAGACAACTTCCTTTGATCCGTATGCAGTTTTATATCATAACTGGGAACATTCCCATAAAGCTCTGTCATCCTCCTCAGCAGCCAGCAAATAGTTATTAATTTGATGGTGCCGGTAGCAGTTTGATTATATATCATTATGTCCGTTTTACTATTCCTTTGTGGGTATATTTGCTTCTTCAGCTGGTGTAAAAACGGTGTTCAGAGAAACATTTCTGTTATTTAGTGGTCCATTTATGTATCCTTTATCTTTTGAGCAGACTGGCAATGGTTCCATAAATGTATGCAGACTGCTGGTTCCTTGCCTCTCAGGCAGATGCATTCCGGCTTCAAAGGAAGCTCCCAATTAGTCGGTTCTTATGACCTGCTTTTGGGTAGGCAGTGGGTCTATTTTTGTTTTCTTTATAATAGGGCCCCCGAAACCCACACGGGCCAGTAAATGGGACCTGCCTTTGGCATCAACTTTGTCCTTAAGAGAGGGGCCGAACAAAAACCCATCAGTGAATCAAGTCAACAGCTGTGATTTGCATGCTTGGTTGGCTCCAGGTTGTTGAAGTCAGTAGGAAATAACGCATTTAACTGGAGAGTTCTTCCTGGTCTTGGATGTTTCTGGTATCACCAATCGATAGGCTGTTAATCAGATGATGTCAAATGTCAGTGCAACTCTTCCAATTCTTGTGCTAGCATTAAGGGAGCTGATGCTGTGATTTTTGTTCTTCTGATTCTTTTAGTTGTGGCAAGATAGTAACAAAGCAGTTAATTTAAATCTAATGATAGACAGATTTGGTGTGAGTATGCAATCTTTGCACGCACACACACACACAAATTTCAAGATTATTTATAGGTCAGTAATAACAATAAAAAAAAACTTTTTTAATGTGATTTAACGGTGTGCCAGTATTCCAAGAGCCACATGAAATATGAGTACTGTCCACGGCTTTATCAGCTTTAAGAAAGTAATGTGAAAATTACATCGAATTTGAGTAAGTCGCTTTCAAAATATATACATTTTAAAAAAGTGTTAACTTTCTTTTGCAAGAGAGTATAGCAGCCTCTATGCATGCATATATCGGTCTTTTCATCTTATCTGCATGGACACATAGGTGGAGGTCCCAGTTTCAGTTTGTGAGTGTGTACAAAACAACCTTTTGTCATGGCAGGGAGGGCTGTCAGCACACAGACTGATATTTGCTGTTGAATATCGCAGTGTTGGCGGCGTCCGTGGCTAAGGCGTTGCGAGTCCGACTCGTAAGCCAGCATACCGCGGTCGAAACCCACTGCAGGCTGCGTGGATTTTTGTCGTGGTATGGGACGTCGCAGGTCGACCCAGCATAAAATGGGTACCAGGATGGGCTGTCCTGGGAAAGTAAAGACAGCCGGCGTAATGCTGACCACATTACTTACAGAGTGCTGATGGTCTGTAAAAATATGGGACGATCTGCCCATATGCCTGATGCGCCGAAAGGCGTGAAAAGGGAACTTGAATATCGCAATGTTGACAGGCATGATCAACTCATGAAGTTGGCAAGTCACTTTAGGATGATGATGATGAATATTTAAAGGTTTCATTTTACCTCGGCGGCGTCCGTGGCTAAGGCGTTGTGAGTCTGACTCGTAATCCAACTTACTGCGATCGAAACCTGCGTGGGCTGCGTGGATTTTTATCGTGGTATGGGATGTCGCAGGTCGACCCAGCCTCAAATGGGTACCAGGATGAGCTGTCCTGGGAAATTAAAGACGGCCGGCGTAATGCTGACCACATTACCCACTGAGTGCCGATTGGTCTGTAAAAATATGGGTGCTCTTCCCATATGCCCGATGCGCCTAGGGGCGTGTAAAGGGATCTTTACTTACTTTACTTTACTTATTTTACCTCATTATGCACAGAGAAGTGAGGTCTTGGAACAAACATCTATAGGAAATATAACATCTTCCATATTTTTATTTCAGGTATTGACCAAACTGGCAAGTAAACAAAGAGTAAATCAACAGAGCAGCAGCATCTACAGATCCTGTTGAATATTTAATCAGGCATCAACTTTGTCCTTGAGAGAGGGGCCGAACAAAAACCTATCAGTGAATCAAGTCAACAGCTGTGATTTGCATGCTTGGTTGGCTCCAGGTTGTTGAAGTCAGTAGGAAATAAGGCATTTAACTGGAGAGTTCAAACCTTAAACATATTCACAAACTTGAGCAATGGCTACTCGCATCCCCATCACAAAAGACACATATAATTTTGAGGATAGACAGAAAAAGATATGGGAGGACATGGAAAGGGATATGGAAAGAAGAAGGAGGTAAGCTGTTATTTTTCTTTCTTCAGTTATAATGTTTGAAGCTGCTTTTTACGCACTTGCCTGTTTGACTGTTAAGAGTTTAAAAAAAAATTTTTTTTTTTTTTTTTTTTTTTTTGCATTTTAGTTTAACTGACAATAGCCAAACTGGTATGCTAATTTATCTGTTGTAAATATTACAACAGTAAAGTATGTTCTTTTCTATAAATTTCAAAGCACTTGATCCATGCCCCTGAGTTTTCATTTCCATGCATGCTTTTAAATGATTTTTTTTAGTGTTCACATGGTTTTTTTTATAAATTCAGTGGTACCTCGGTATACGACCAATTTGATATGTGCCCTGTTAAGATGCGAGCAGTTTTGCTTAATATATATCCTATATTTGAAATATGGCTCGTATGCTAGAATTTCTGTGTGTCAAAATGAGTCACAACACCACACGGTACCCTTGTTCACAGCTCTGATTATTCAAGGAAATGTTTGCCAAATGGATTGATGTCAAAAACCACAGCAACTGTGTCTAAACAAGCCGCAACAGCATGTCTGGAATTACCAAACAGTATCATATTTCTGAAACATCTTGGTCATGGGTCATACAGACATAAACATAACACAAGATTTTCTTTCAACACAATATTTTCTGGAATAATCTAAGATTATAGTTCCTTGCTCCGCTTCTGGCCAGACACACTCAACACTCACCCACTGAAACCCTTCTATATATTTCTAAATGTGACTGATCAAGCTGGTTATTTGCAAAAAATCTTATTATTAAGGGGGGGGGGGGGAAGGGAAGGGTGGGGGGGAAGCATGGAATAGTGAGGGATGAGTGATCGAGAAAAGAGTAAGAAACAGCCAGACATATAGATGGGATGAATAAATTATAAATATGCAGCATAGAGATTTAGTGAGAGGATTGTTTTTGAACATGCTCAAACCTGCCACCCAAATCTAGTGATGTTGGGCCCTAGTGGGCCAGTACAAATTGCCCAGCGACCAAAGTTTGCCCACCCCTGCTCTAATTGCTTTTGTATTTATGTATTTTAGAGTTATGCAGTGCTTAAAATATTTTACATAACTCCATCAATGTATTATAATATGCTAATAACAAGAGGATTTTCTTCATGGGAATGGATTAATCATTCTCCCTGTATTTCTTAAGGGAAAATGTGTTTGGTGTATATCCAAAAACCTGGAACGGATTAAGGAGATATACTGAGGTGCCACTGTACATTGTGACGTGTATGTGGCTTTCTTACTGTTAATAAATACCCGTGGAAGTTAAAAGTGTTTATTGTAGCAGTACACAAATCAGTTTTCTCTTTTTGTATGTTGTATTTTTGTAGCTTATAATATAATTCTATTGAGCACATTAATGTGTGACACATTAAACATAAATATATCGTTGCCTGCACAGGATTGCAGGATACACCAGGCTAGTATGTGATGCAACCATTGTGGGTTCTGGCTGCTTTAGATGCCCTATTTATAATTTTATTGGAGGTAGATTAGAATTTAACAAAGGATTTGAGAGAATAGATTTCGATAAAAGATAGGCCTCCTGAAACAAGAACGGTCAGAGGGCAGAGATGTCAACTTTTCCACTACATGCTTCATGTTCAGTTCAGATTAATAAATCAGATCTATTTACTACAGATGAAGCTTAACCCTTTCATCCCACTAATGTTCAAACCAGTGGGCATGAACCCATTGACATTCTGGAAAGTTAAGAAGAAGAAAAAAAACACAATTTTACAAGGTCACTGATAAAGTTAAAAAAAAAAATTAGATATTTATGTTAAATTTAAAAATAGTTTTGTGTAGGAAAATTTAAAGATGTTATGAAAGGAATATTTGATAAAGATGATCAATGAAGCATTAAATGGAATACATTTCCTGGGCCAAGAAAGAAAACATATTGGCTGACTCATATTGGGACTTCTTGACCTCTATCATTAAGGCTTACAGAAAAAAATGAGACAAATTTGTCCCTCAACAATTTTACACACACATGCAAGCACGCGCACACACACACATGCACACACACTATGTTTTTTTAATAAGTTAATATAATCACTTCCTGACCTCATGAACATTTGCACAGATATGAACACACAGCCAATAGCAGTAACCATACATCTCGTAAACAAGTCACTATAGGCAAGTCGGAAAAGTTACATTTACGGCCACAACTGGAAGTGTTGGTTTTGTGGCTTCTTGGGACGACAGGTTTAAAAGGCAGCGCCAGCTTTATACGAGATATAAGACATATTTCTTTGAGAAGAAGTAGTTTGGGTGATATTATACTCTAGTAACCATGAATGACCAGCATTGATGCCAACCATTTGTTTCCATTCCCAGAGATCCTAATTCAAGCTGGTCTCAACCCGGGAGGTTGGTATAACATCACCCGGGCTATATGTGATATTTAACACACATGTATTTGCTTCTTTAATACAACATATTGACAAAATCAACCATATTCCTATAGATCGTCTTTTTAAAAAAAAATAAATGGTGGGAAACTGTTAGTTAATGTGAGTTAATGTTCGGACATCAATTTTCTTTTGTATAATTGCTCATAGTAGGTTGCAGTGTCTTTCTGTGAGGGTGGTCCGCCTGCGGGGCTGGTTCTCCTTACCACTGTGCCTATTTAAACATTCTCTGCCTAGTACAGTTAATGTTGAGACCTGTTCCCGAAACATTTCAGCTGTTCGCTATCTTCATCCATCACTTGCCTGCTAAGACTTCACATAACCCTTGGAGGGTACAGTCTAGAGCTTCGACAATGATTCTTCTACTTTCACCCCTAATCCCTTATTGGTGCATAGACTCTCAACCAGCTCCTGCCACACCATCCTGTCTCTTCTTCTTTCACCCCTAATCCCTTATTGGTGCATAGACCCTCAACCAGCTCCTGCCACACCATCCTGTCTCTTCTTCTTTCACCCCTAATCCCTTATTGGTGCATAGACCCTCAACCAGCTCCTGCCACACCATCCTGTCTCTTCTTCTTTCACCTCTAATCCCTTATTGGTGCATAGACCCTCAACCAGCTCCTGCCACACCATCCTGTCTCTTCTTCTTTCACCCCTAATCCCTTATTGGTGCATAGACCCTCAACCAGCTCCTGCCACACCATCCTGTCTCTTCTTCTTTCACCCCTAATCCCTTATTGGTGCATAGACCCTCAACCAGCTCCTGCCACACCATCCTGTCTCTTCTTCTTTCACCCCTAATCCCTTATTGGTACATAGACCCTCAACCAGCTCCTGCCACACCATCCTGTCTTTGGCCATCTGCACGTAGCTCCATCATTTGAATTTATTTCTGCTTCGATTGTCTTCTCCATGTTTCAGGTCTCCTGCTAACTCTTTTGCCCTTTGGGGTTCCAGTAAAGATATATTCTTGTTGTTTCTGTGTATGCCCTATATTTGATTTGTTCTCTTCCTAAGCTATGCCTACATTAGTGATTCTGTCATTAAAAAACTGTTGCAATAACAATTTTGTGATCATAAAGCAACTGATTCTTGTATAATAGTTTAATTGTTGTAGATTAATAACATTTACTGAATGGCTTGTAGTGTCGATTGATCTCATTTACCTGATGGCTTGTAGATTAATAACATTTACTGAATGGCTTGTAGTGTCGATTGATCTCATTTACCTGATGGCTTGTAGATTGATTACATTTACTGAATGGCTTATTAGATTACAATCACTGAATGGCTTGTAGATTGATTACCTTTACTGAATGGCTTGTTAGATTACAATCACTGAATGGCTTGTAGATTGATTACCTTTGCTGAATGCCTTGCCTTTATGGTTGCAGATGCTATTTTATTATAACTAATCTACAGATATTAGGCTGTCTTGATATTTTCTGAACTTCTTAGATGGGTAACGAACACACATAAATATATTTGTTTTTTTTTTTTTTGCATGATATTAAAAGGGTGTGCAAATGTTACATTCATATATTTATGTCTACATTTTGGTGGTTATAGTAGATTTCTGAAATATTTACCACTGTTGTTTTGACCTCCAAACTAATCACACAGGTTTTTTTAAACAAAGTCTGGCGCTGAATCTTAGACCCATACAGGATGCAAACAGTGAGGAATGGAGAGTTAGAAGTTACAACAGAATTCATAATTTGTTTAAAAGATGCCATTGATCACTAGCATCATGAGGGCTAATACACTGAAATAGCTGAGGCATATATAGAGAATGGTAGGTGACAGAGAGGCAAAAACTGTGTTCGCAGGGTAGTTGAATGGGAGTAGACCAAGAAGACGGTGGAGTGATAATATCCACGCAGACCTACAAACACTGGGAGTTGCTGCGGCGGATCGGAAGGTCGTGGGTTGGCTCTCTGGCAGAGCCGGAATTTTTTTTCAAAGATGTCCTTGGCTCCCAGGTCGATCTAGCCTTCAGTGGGTACCGAGTGCAGTCCTGGGAAGTAAAATCAACCACCAACTACCGATAGGTCTAGCTCTATACGCCTAAAGGCATGGAAAAGGGTCCTTTACTTTTTTTTTCTTTACTTACCTACAAACACTTGGCTAAACAGGATCACAAATAAAGAACTGAGGAGGAAAACAGAATGTGCATCATTGGCAAATGTTATCAAAGTAAGACGATGGAGATGGCTTGGACATATTTGCAGAATGCCTTGTGATACTCTGGCAAAAAGATGCTCTCCGGTGAACAGCAGATGGGAAAAGGAGACGTGGACGACCTAATGAAACCTGGAGAAGGACAGTAGAACGGGAAATAAAGGAATGTAAACTGACATAGGATACCATAGGCAGAAAAGCAGCAGACCGGCAGCAATAGAGATCACTTGTGAATGCCTTATGTGTCAACAGCGACATGAAGAGGATGTAGACAAACACTTGGAGTCACCAGCTGGAAAAGAGTAACCTAACCCAGTCATCTCCTTGTGAGATGCAATTTTTCGTTATTTGAAGCCCTTCTCTGGCTCTTGCCAGGGGCCGCAAAATAGCCCGACCATAAATATGGTCTAATGGCTGAACGCGATTTTTGGGACTTTTCCACAGGTGATCCTCATCCACATGGTGTCACTTTGTGTCATCAGGTGTTAATCGCTTGTGTGATGTCCTGGTGGGGTAAAAGAAGTGGGGAGCCAGTTGCATCAGTGAATGGAGGTATATGCTACTTGCCAGCAGTGAATGCCAAGGGCTCGGAGTGCTAAAGAAGAAGTTTGAACCTATTCCCAGATAGAAGTGTGGCTCCGTGGCTTAGAGGTCAGCGAAAGCTGTTAACTATTTCATGTGGCTTAGAGGTCAGCGAAAGCTGTTAACTATTTCATGATCCTCGAGTACCGTGGTTCGTTTCCCGTGGTGGACGGGGAAAATCAATTCTCTTGGTTTTCGGACAATGGTACGAGAGTCGCACTGTGGAAGAGATTGGGCCTCACCACGTAATATTCCTGAAGACGGCAATGGTACACTGTTGCCACCCTTCATTGTGGAGATGGCACACAACAACATTGATAGAAGGATTAGTATGATGTCTGCAGATGTGTGTGCTACAAATAATTTGCTGTTTTATTGTTGAGCATGTGAAATATTAGTAGGTGTTGAGAGTAACGACATGTTGCATATTGTGTAATAACTTCGTTTAGGTATAATTTAGCATAGATATACTTGCTAGTAGCTGATACAGACTAAGCACCTGCGAGTTTGTCTCAAGTGCAGCAGTGCTAAATAAGCAGCACGTTTAAAGGTGTTTGAAGGAAGGTTAACCAGCTGCACTGGAATTTATCCAGTATGGCTTGATCCCTTTCTTGTAGAGAAGCTGTTCACACAGACTATGTCACACAAAGCACAAACTTTGTAGCTCCCACATAAACCCCCATAGATCTGTAAAACACCTCACTTGATGAACAATGAATCCAAAATGGAACCAACAACCTTCAGAGCATAAGGTCAACAATTAAATCTTCTCACCATAGAGACCTCGAGGGTCTCCATGGCAGAGTCATCAAGTAATTTGCCTTGCGCCCAAAATGGTATGGGTTAATTTCAAGGCTGCGACATTCAGTTCACTCATGCAATGCCTTGGGCTCATTGCTGGAGATACGGAGTTTGCCTCGTGCTGTGTGCGACGCTCTCACTAGGTGGCTAGACATTCTACAGAGAGAGAGAGATCGAGCCATGTGGGATAAAACCCAGTGGAATGAAGACGATCCTCTCACCTTTAACCTTTGAACTATAGAGACCCACTTGTTATGAGAAGGAATGGACTAGAAAACTTGGTGACAATGGAGGAAAAGAGCAGTGAGATAAATATCTGGATGCCTTGGCTATATGGATGGGGTGAGGCAGGAGCACTGAGCTGATCTATGATTCTGGTGATCGTGTGAGATGGTGAAACATGACACAGCCTATGCTTATCAGCAAGGCACATAATGATGATGTCAGATACCTCCTTTGTAGCACATTTGTACATAATGATTATGACAGATACCTCCTTTGTTGCACATTTGTACTTAATGATTATGACAGATACCTCCTTTGTAGCACATTTGTACGTAATGATTATGACAGATACCTCCTTTGTTGCACATTTGTATGTAATGATTATGACAGATACGTTGTGATAATGATTATGACAGATACCTCCTTTGTAGCACATTTGTACATAATGATTATGACAGATACCTCCTTTGTTGCACATTTGTACATAATGATTATGACAGATACCTCCTTTGTTGTGCATTTGTACGTAATGATTATGACAGATACTTCCTTTGTAGCACATTTGTACGTAATGATTATGACAGATACCTCCTTTGTTGCACATTTGTATGTGATGATTATGACAGATAGCTCCTTTGTTGCACATTTGTACGATATGATTATGACAGATACCTCTTTTGTTGCACATTTTTACGTAATTATTATGACAGATACCTCCTTTGTTGCACATTTGTACTTAATGTTAATGATTATGACAGATACCTCCTTTGTTGCACATTTGTACTTAATGATTATGACAGATACCTCCTTTGTTGCACATGACATAATGATGACAGATACCTCCTTTGTAGCACATTTGTACATAATGATTATGACAGATACCTCCTTTGTTGCACATTTGTACTTAATGATTATGACAGATACCTCCTTTGTTGCGCATTTGTACATAATGATTATGACAGATACCTCCTTTGTAGCACATTTGTACATAATGATTATGACAGATACCTCCTTTGTTGCACATTTGTACTTAATGTTAATGATTATGACAGATACCTCCTTTGTATCACATTTGTACATAATGATTATGACAGAAACCTCCTTATATATTGATTTTACTGCATGTGTAGGGGAATGTTGATGTCAAACAGACAGAATGCTAACTCCTTTACTCAGAAGTCTTAACATTTATTTCTCTGCACAAAACTGTTTTAATTCGCACAATTTTTGACTGTCAGTCCAGCACACTGCTGCCCCCTGCAACCATAATGATGTCTGTAAACAACTGATTCTGCTGACATCTTTTCTGTAACATGGTTAATATGTCGCCTCTAACTAGCGGTCATGCTGAAAGTTCAGTCCCCTTAGAAACAGACCTTAATAGGTTTAATAGAAAACACAGCAGTACATTTAATGTATTTTCACTCTAGGTGCCTTGACTGATATTTTTCAGTACTGAAGTTCAGATAACATACAGAGCTGTCTTTTTCGTTATTTTGTGATCCTAAATTTTGAATATTCACTTTATTACCACTTATAATATTCAGAGATATGAACTCTGACTGCAAAGGAAGCTCCTAATTAGTCAACGACATTCTCGTTAGGAAGGTAGTGGGTCTATTCTTGTTTTCCCACATAGGGAATTTTTTAGTTTAAAAGTCCACCTAATATATTTTAAACAAAGTTAACTTAAATAGTTAAAACTTGAAAAATTTACACTCCTACAATCATTTACCCTCTATGCAGCATTTGGTAACCAAAAGTAAATTGACATAGATTTCAGTACTAAAATTTATGTAGGAAAAAACACCTCTGTTTGTTCTGTCGTATTTATTTAGATGGATTCAAGAGGATATTATTGTTTAAATTACTACTATTACTTTTTTTCTTCTGCTTTCATCTGAGGATGTAATTGCGTTGTGTCCGTTTACAGCAAGGCTGTGATATTTGCACCTTTTTGGCCAACAGGTCCGACTTTTGTGGGCATTTGTTGACCGTGTAAGCCTTTCCGGTTAGTTTCGTGGAACACAGCAGTCTCAGTGTTGTGTGGTCATCTTTGTACTGGTGACTAGTCCAATAGGGATAATTTTATACGCCAGTTTACTGGCGAAAAGTCCTCACAGAGTAAAATATTAGTTTATTTTCACATCTTAATTAACATTTGCTCCATTTTTAGTTGCCATATTCCAGTTATCACAGCAGCCACACAAAAAAATGTTAGTCTGAAATGGTGGTCTGTTTGATTACATAGCTGCTGTTTTTGTTTTCAGACCTGATAGGCAACTGTATAAGAGCTTTAGTTAATTGCTTTGGTGAAGTCAAAGTCGGGAGGTCGATTTGTTTTCAGGTTGAAAGTGAAGGGGATCGACTTCATTGTACCAGGTTTTTTTTTTTTAGGTTAACATCTAGAGGAATTGCCTCATTGTATCAGATTTTTTCAAAGTTAAAATTAAAGTCAAGAGCATTGACTTCATTGTATCGTGGTTTTCTCCCCTTATGGCATAGAGTATTAGATATTGAATTTGCAAGCACACTGTATGTACATAGAGTATTAGATATTGAGTTTGCAAGCACACTGTATGTACATAGAGTATTAGATAATGAATTTTCAAGCACAGTATATGTACATAGAGTATTAAATATTGAATTTGCAAGCACTCTGTATCTACATAGAGTATTAGATATTGAATTTGCAAGCACTCTGTATCTACATAGAGTATTAGATATTGAATATGCAAGCAATTTGTGATTGGTTTTTTCATTGAATCTCAGCTACTCTGAAATATGTTCTTTTTATATTTGATCGCAGGTACAGAAATTGGGCTTGTTTGATGGCCATTTCTGCTGTCTATTTAGCCTCTATAAATGTGATAAATATGTATTTGTCAAAATATTTATCTATCCCTGGCACCTTTGCACAGTCTTGTGGGACTGAAAATGTTGATAAAAATGAATTATAGTTTTAGCTTATGAACGGCAGTATTCTTTGCTAATGGTTTTTGTTTTCAGAATAACCTGAGAGAGAATTCCTCTTTTTTGCTGTTGCAGAGAATGGGAGGATGAAATTGATAAAATGAGAAAAGAGTTTTTCCACCTTCGTCCTGAGAACTCAGAATTTGGCAGACTCCACGGAACAGGGACATTAGCCAGACTGCCAACACGGACGTCAGGAAGAATCTCCGAAGCTGACGATGGCAAAGCTATCATTGAGAAAGATGACAAGGGACAGCCAGTATTTAAGGTAAATAATGTTAATGAGTCAGATTTGTTTTGCATTTTTTAAAGCAATTAGAATGTTTCCACTGGTGTTGAAAAAAGATCCCAGAATTTATTCACTGTATATAAATACTTAAACAATAATACAGTCATGTATTATAGATGTCCTTTAAATTAGTTGCCTTTGGCCATGACAAACATTTACCACTGTTTGTAGAGCAATGCAACTTCCATTTTACTGCTGTTACTGCCTGTATTCACCACTTTTGCGGGGGGGTTGGGGGGGGGGGGGGGGGGGTGGGAGGGGCCTTTAAACCTGAGGATTTAGGGCCCCATGGTTGGTACGGTTGACACAGACTGTGCAGGTGAGAATTTTAGTCTTGACTCCAATAGAAAATCAAAATCCATAATCTTACTGAGGATATAAGAATCTAGGTCTGCCACTTGAGAGCCCAATGTGCTAACTGTTCAGCCAGCTGCTCCATCTTTTATAGAGCTGTTGGAAATATTCTGGGGGTATACCCATTCTTTGTAGCTTGAGAGCCCAATGTGCTAACTGTTCAGCCAGCTGCTCCATCTTTTATAGAGCTGTTGGAAATATTCTGGGGGTATACCCATTCTTTGTAGTTTCTCTGTCTCTTACTACATTGATGATACAGTCCTCAGCCAGCTCGACTCCTTTCCCTTTAAGGGCTAGTTTGAAGTGAGAAAACATGCAAGTTTATGTGGTACCAATACTAATACTTCTGTCAACATAATATGAATGTCTTTATAGACATGCTCAGTATTTTCATTGTTTATTAATGACAATACGATATTAACTTTGAGCCTCACTTAACATCCCAGTGTTCTTAACCATTCAACTCCTCGGTCAAATTATAATTGAACAGAAATTTATACTGCAGGTGAAAAAGTAAATTTAAAAAAAAATTATTTTAAATAAATAATTACATTATAATTGTATTACATAACAAAACATAACCCATGACCCATTAGGATCGTGGAGGTGTATCGATAGAAGCACTAGCACAAAAAACCTGCCATCTTTCTTTGACATTGATTGAGTAGAACATAGACAACTGAAAGATCTGGACCTTATAGATGATAGTGTTCTGTTAAGTAAAAATAACAAAGACCTGCAAAGAAAAACAGATGATGTGTCATCTACAGCATCACAAATAGGACTGCGAAAAGGTTATGAGAAAACAAATGTATTAAAGACACCAACAACAGATCATGTAAATGTCATGCTGGAGAACAAACCAATAAAAGTAACGGACCACTTCACCTATTAAGGTAGCAATTTTGACTCAAGGAGACACCGCCAAGGAAATTATGATACGCACAGGCAAAGCAACAGCAGTCTTTAAAAGTCTTAACAAAATATGGAGCTCTAAGTTATACAGCTTTGAGACAAATCTACGAATCTTCATTTTAAATGTTATTTCACTTCTAGCATTTGCCAGCGATAGATGGAGAACAACCAAAGATATGGAACGGAAGTTAAATGCATTTGGAAATAAATGTCTGAGAAAAATCATGAACATAAAATGGAAAGAATTTAAAAAGGGTGAGGAGATCAGAGAAATGTCTGGACAAATAGCTGTATTGACTGCAATAAACCAAAGTAGGTGGAGATATATTGGAATGGAGGGAATAAAATGGTATGATAGAATAACTAATGTAGAACTTTGGGAGAGAACTAAAATGCTCCAACAAAGGAGTCTGAGGAAAAGACGCTGGTGTTGGAAGGGCACACACTGAGAAAAACAGGAGAACTAGCATAACTAGAATGTCTTTGCTTGGAACCCCATGGGGCATAGGAATAAAGAAAGTTGCATGCAAAAGAGCACATGGAGAAGAGAGCTTTGAGAATGAGGTTAGAAAGATTGGGTGGACATGGAGAGAGCTCCACGCAATGCCATTAGATGTCACACTTGGCAATATATGCCCATAATATTATATGGAACCATCATCACTTGATGATGATGTGGTCAGATGACTTGAAATATGGCATAGTCCCAATAATTTGTATAACAGTTTGCACTTGTGGATGACGCGGTCAGCCTTGACTTGATATATGGCCATGGCCCATAATTTGTATGAAAAAAACACCACTTGATGGTGACGCGGTCCAGCCTTGACTGATATATGGCCATAGTCCCATAATTTGTACTGGAACAGGCATCACTTGATGGATGACTACTTTCAGCCTTGACTTGATGTATGGCGATAGTCCCATAATCTATAAAAGACTCATCACTTGAGTGGATTAAGGGTCAGCCTGACTTGATATATGGCCATAGTCCCATAATTTGTATGGAACAGTCAGCACTTGATGGATTTTATGCGGTCAGCCTAAATTGGTGTATGGCGATAGTCCCATAATTTGTAGAACCCATTTTTGATGGATGACGCGGTCAGCCTTGACTTGATATATGGCCATAGTCCCATAATTTGTATGGAACAGTCATCACTTGATGGATGACGCGGTCAGCCTTGACTTGATATATGGCGATAGTCCCATAATTTGTATGAAACCATCATCACTTGATGGATGACGCGGTCAGCCTTGACTTGATATATGGCCATAGTCCCATAATTTGTATGGAACAGTCATCACTTGATGGATGATGTGGTCAGCCTTGACTTGATATATGGCCATAGTCCCATAATTTGTATGGAACAATCATCACTTGATGGATGACGCGGTCAGCCTTGACTTGATATATGGCCATAGTCCCATAATTTGTATGGAACAATCATCACTTGATGGATGATGCGGTCAGCCTTGACTTTTCCATGTCATTTCTTTGTACTCAGTTTGGATTGGGTTGTGGTCAGGCTTGACTTTTCCATGTCATTTCTTTGTACTCAGTTTGGATTGGGTTGACGTGGTGAACTCAGGTCTGTTATAAAAAATTTACCTCGGTGTGAATTTGAACCAAGGACAGTAAGGTTGGCAGGCAGGAGCTCACCGTATGCCTAAAGCTAAATGAAATTCTGTTTACAATAGTGTGTTTTGATGTCTATTTTTCTCTTTTCTTCTTCAACCAGGTTCGCTTCAATATGAAAGAATACATGCCGGAGGAAATGAATGTAAAAATGGACTCAATAAAGATCATGGTGTATGCCAAGCATGAGGAGAAAGGTGAAGGTTCAAAGGTCAGCCGAGAATACAGCAGAGAAGTAAATATACCCAGGGATGTGGACCCACTTTCATTACAGTGCACCCTCAACCCAGATGGCTACCTGGTGGTTCATGCCCCTCTGCCTGTACCTAGCTACAATGCTATTAAAGATTCAAGCATTGCCTCTCATAGTCCTCCTATTTCTGTCAAGTCTTCTTCCTCCTACAACACCTCATCCACAGGGCCTTCTAAACCATCATCTGCATTTACCTCTGGCCCAGCTTCTGCATTTTCCCAGCAGCAGCAGCAGCAGCAGGTTCATGCTCAGACGATTAATCAGCAGCATGCAGCGGCACCTAATGTCGGCAACACCAGGCCACCGGCAACATTCACCCAGCCCAAATATGGCCAGGGAGAAACCATCAGCCACCCAGATCATGTGGTGCCATCTTATAAACCACCTCCAGACTTGAGCAAGCTGGACATGCCTGAGAGTGCCCTGCCCAGAAGCTCCAGTCCCTCTTACCATTCAACTTCATCCTCACACTTACAGAACTCTAGCTTTTCCAAACTTCCGCCTTTCAGTACTCTGAGTTCAACTTTCCCTTCTGGCCCTATCTTTCCAGAGTCATCAGCGCAAGCACAGCTAAGCACACCTGCAGTCACCTCCCACGATGGCAAATTCCAGCTGACAATGCCCATAGAAGACTTCAGACCTGACGAGCTGACGGTGAAAACCCAGGACAGGAAAGTCATCATCTGTGCTAAAAGAGAAGTCAGTTCTGGCAATAGGGCCCAGACAATGGAGATGAGTCGGGAGCATAGCCTCCCTGATAATGTGGATCCTCTGACAATAAAGGCTTTCTTCACAGACACCAATAACCTGATTGTTGAGGCTCCATTCATGTGAGACAAGTCATGCTTGACAGCCTGATTTCAACATTGATAAACTTGCAGTCACGGGCACTTAACTCTTTCAGTCACATGAGATTTTGCAGCAGACACCCAGTAGAGAGGGGGCTGGGGAATAAGCACATTAACAACCAAAACACTATTGTATGGTTTGGCTTTCAAAGAGGTGAAATACAAATAGTTTTGACCACTATAGAATCCAGATTTTTCAGCCTATTATTATTAAATATATTTAAAATGTACAAGAACACATTACAACATGAAAAACAGAAACATTCACCGTATGGTTTAGTACACACATTATTTATATTTACAATTCAGAGATAAAATAAACTTCAAATTCAAATTCTTGAGGAGTATTTTAACAGAAGATGGATGGCTTGACAAGAAGATCAAGTTGAGATGGTAGAAAGTGTACACCAGTGATTTATCAGCTTAAACACTGAAGTATCAACCTAAAAACCAGGAGACAACTGTTTATCAGCAATCAGCATACATAAACCAACTCTGTTAGCATAAATATACCAACTCTGTTTGTCCGTGGACTCGTACCAACTCTGTCAGTATAAGTATACCAACTCTGTTTATCGGACTTGTACCAACTCTGTTTATCCGTGGACTCGTACCAACTCTGTTCATCAGTGGACTCATACCAACTCTGTTTATCACAGACTCATACCAACTCTTTTTTATAACAGACTCATACCAACTCTGTTTATCACAGACCCATACCAACTCTGTTTATCACAGACTCATACCAACTCTTTTTTATAACATACTCATACCAACTCTGTTTATCACAGACTCATACCAACTCTTTTTTATAACAGACTCATACCAACTCTGTTTATCACAAACCCATACCAACTCTTTTTTATAACAGACTCATACCAACTCTGTTTATCACAGACCCATACCAACTCTTTTTTATAACAGACTCATACCAACTCTGTTTATCACAGACCCATACCAACTCTGTTTATCACAGACCCATACCAACTCTTTTTTATAACAGACTCATACCAACTCTGTTTATCACAGACCCATACCAACTCTGTTTATCACAGACCCATACCAACTCTTTTTTCACAGTCCCATACCAACTCTGTTTATCACAGACCCATACCAACTGTGTTTATCAGCAGGCCCATGCCAATTGTGTTTATGATGAGACCCATGCAGACTCTATCAGCATATTGAAACCAGCTCTGTCTACAAGCATACCCGTATCATCAATATCAGACCTGATCACTAAACAGTGTGCAGAAGAGAAATATCATGAGATGTCAGATGAGACACCTGAGAAAAGTTTGCATTTACAGCCAAAAGAGACCAGCTGAGAAACTAATGACACTGAACTTACAAGAACAACAACTTGCATTGATTGTGTATACTAACATAATCAACTTATTTTATCCTTAAATGTATACGTAAATAATACATTGCACTGTCTCGTCAGCTGTGTTACTACAAAGTTGTATCAACATATAGTGAAGCACAGAAATGAATCCTTTCCACTGAAATACACAAATCACAATGTCTCTAGTTGCACTGTGCATCTCACGACCAGAGGTTCAAGACAGTCACATGGTTACCACGGAAGTCCAACTTACCTCCATAATCCTACAATTGTAAGATGAATTGCATAGCAGAAAGAAGACCAAGGAGTAGAAAGATCAACATTTTAAAACACAGGCTTAATTTTTGCCAGCACAGTAGAACTTGGCACTATGGCAAAATCACCCATATGCTGCAGTTTTGGCAATTTTCAGTGCTGTATTTTTGTCACTTCACAGTATGCAGAAGGAAGGCATGTGAACTCCTGCTCCAGCTACATCAAAATTAAGTATTACTTTTGATGTAGCTACACAGTTAATATATTAGAGCCTGATTTTTAAGAGATTTCAGTGTTTGCAATTTTCCTGAAACAAAAGTTTAGAACTTAGGGGGCATTGGTGGATTGCCACAATTTACTGTAGTTACCCATAGTGCCTCCTGGCAAGATCTTACCCAGCGCAGGGAATAAAACAGTTCTTCTACAGCAGCGGTCTCAACTTTGGGGGGGGGGGGGGGGGGGGGGTCGAGCGACACTTTCACAGGGTTATATTAGTTTGTGTTCTCAGATTGTTTTGGGATCTTTTTCAAAAAATATTGGTTGGGTTGACAAACTGAATATACTGATAAATAGTTGTAAATGAAGATTATATCAGTCACAAATACACATCCAAAACGGGACGAGAGCAGATAACTTTTTGTTTACTATTACGTCAGATCTTTATTAGCATGCGCATATGATGGTGTGTATGTGTGACACTAATAATTCCCAAAACACTTAGGGCAGGATTGAAGCGTTCATTTATCTGTAGTGGCTTTTACAGCTACTTAATTTTTTTTAGAAACAAAGTATAGATTACTTGTTCTTAGAATTAGTCATTACATAATTCACATACAAAATACAAACAGGGCTTTTGTTATTTTGTTGTTGTTGAAAACATTGTTTATGCATCATTTAGTACACCATTATCTCATATTTGAGCTGACAGTTTTATGTTAGTTTATGTTATTTAACTCTTAGAGTCGGCATCTGGGGCTTAGACCTAGCAAATGCACCCTAATGCCCAGGTGCCGGGCTCGATCCCAGCTGCGGACGATTTGTCCTGCGCTAGTTTCGACAGCGGTACCGAGAGCTGACCGTTCAGAGGCAGTGAAAAACTACTGGACGTAAAATTTGCCTAGAAAAACCACAGCAGCGAATACATGCTGGGGTGGGTTCTGCAACGTCCTGTAAAGGATACGCAACTAATTTTTAACTCTTGGAAGTTGTGAGGGCAGTATTTGTGGCCAGTGGCATGGACTAGGCTAGTGGTTTCAGTTTGCCTTGATTATATATATATTTTTTTTTCTCCATTGGTATAATTTTGACCATACTTGAAATAATTCATTGAATGTTCACATTTTAAAACACAATGAGAATCATCGATGCAACAGACATGCCCCCATCCTTCCCCTCCACTTCTTTGAGGGAGAATGAAATTGATAAAACGTGTGTTATACCCTCATAATTTTCAGCGCTCATCAGCAGATTAGTAATGTAGACACTGCAGTAGAAAACTCATTTTTGCTATCAAACGTTCCAATGGCAGACATCCTGTGTGAGATGAAAAGGTGTAATGTGCATACATTTATGAGTACTGGATGCAGTGTTTCTTCTCTTCCTTTGGTGGATGTAGTGTTTTTTCCTTAGCTTTTTGCAGTGACATTGGTTAATTTAGAAAGATAATGTTTTCATTACAAATATGAGCTTTACATTCAACCATAAATATTCTGGATGTCCTTGGGCCTTCTGAGTTGGAAACAGTTTGCGAGATTAGCTTGATAAACACTTTTTTTTAAGTATGTCGTTTCTGAATTTGCATTTGCAAGTCATGGAAACCCTGTTGAACTGTATAGCCATGTACAGCACTGTTATACTGGGGCACCACAACATGGTTATACTGGGGCACCACAGCATGGTTATACTGGGGCACCACAACATGGTTATACTGGGGCACCACAGTACGGTTATACTGGGGCACCACAGCACGGTTATACTGGGGCATCATAACATGGTTATATTGGGCACCACAACATGGTTATACTGGGGCACCACAGCACAGTTATACTGGGGCACCACAACATGGTTATATTGGGCACCACAACATGGTTATACTGGGGCACCACAGCACAGTTATACTGGGGCACCATAACATGGTTATACTGGGGCACCACAGCACAGTTATACTGGGGCATCATAACATGGTTATGCTTGGGCACCACAGCACAGTTATACTAGGGCACCACAACACGGTTATACTGGGGCACCATAGCACAGTTATACTGGGCAAACACAATACGGTTATACTGGGGCACCACAGCACAGTTAGTAACCTGTAGTCCAGTGTGGGTGGGTAGTGATCTACTTACACACTTGAACATTTAATAGTATTTCTTTTTTAGTTAAAGTTGTCTGAGGGTTTGAATGACCCAGTAGTAAGAAAATTGGCCATCAAACACAAATATGCCAAACCACCTATATAAATGTGGCGTACAGAGTTAATGTTGTTACTGATTGCAAGAACATACAACATGAGAATCTATCTTCTTTTACTTCACCAGGACATCACACAAGCAATAAACACCCGATGACACAAAGTGCCACCATGGGGATGAGGATCACCCGTGGAGAGGTCCCAGAAACCACGTTCAGCCATTAGACCGTATTTATGGTCGGGCTATATTGCGGCCCCTGGCAAGAGCCAGAGTAGGGCTTCAGATAACGAAAAATTGCATCATCCAAGGACATAGATAAGTTATGTGAGGAGAATGGAAACTGACTGACTTTCTACCCCACTAGGACATCACACAAGCGATAAACACCCAATGACACAAAGTGCCACCATGCGGATAAGGATCGCCGTGGAGAGGTCCCAGAAACCGCTTTCAGACATTTGGCCATATTTGTGGCCTGCCTATATTGTGGCCCCCGGCAAAAGCCAGGGTGGAGCTTCAAATAAAGTATGTAATGAGAATGGAAACATCATAAGGCAGAGGAAGGAAGAAGATGGGTAGGTGGAGTTAACAACTTGCTGAAACGTACAGTATCACCATGCAGCAAGCTAATGAGCGTGCACTATCCGGGAAATCGACCATTAGCCATGCTTGCGATGCCTAACAGCATAAAGCAATGAATGAATAAATAGAAGTGGTAAAATAAAATAAATAAGCAATGTTTCAGGCACAAACTGGAACTCTTGTGTATTTAGTACGTGTTGCGACACCTGGTTCTAAAAGATTTATCTCCCTTGCATTAGTTCATGGACAGCAATAAAATGTTTGGTGTGTGGTGACATCAAATAGGGGAAACCACATTAATATATACCATGAACAAAGTTAATAGACAATCAGTTATAAAAATAGCTTTATCAATCAGGCTGCTGATATGGAGAAAACCCACAATAATTGTTCATGAACAGGTTAACTCTTCTTGTCACAGACTGCAGTGTTCACTTTAAACCACCATATATGTCTGAGCTTAAAGCAAGTAAGATGTTAAAATTATACAATAGAAGAGGTATCAATATCCAGTTTTTTTTTAAATTTGAAGCCTTTGCCAGGGGGCCGCAATATAGGCTGGCCATAAATATGGCCAATTGTCTGAGCGCGGTTTCTGGGACCTCTCCACAGCGATCCTCATCCACATGGTGGTACTTTGTGTCATCGAGTGTTTGTCGCTTGTGTGATGTCCTAGTGGGGTAGAAAGTCAGTCAGTCAGTCAGCTCTGTATCAGTATATGACACAGTTTTTTGATATCTTAAAGGCCAACCCTGGCTGTTGTCAGGGACCCTTATATAACCTAAAAGTTGAATGGGATTTCTGGGACTAGTCTGCTGGTGATGCTCATTTAAATGGTGGCACTTTGTGTCACCAGGTGTGTATCGCTCGTTGTATGGTCCAGGTGGGGTTGAATGTCACCCACTTACTCAGTGATGAACACCTTCTCATTACTCAAATAAGATGGAAGATTACACCTGGCTTGTGTAGCAATCAAATTGTTTCACACAATCAGTTAAAGCTAACCAGTTGGCTAGTTGGCTTAGAGACAATTGCCTGCAGTCTGTTTTGTGTGGTTCTCACTGGCACAGTTTGCTGTGAAATTGGAATTGCGACTAAAAATTATTACCATTCAAACTTTACATTTCCTACACTGAAAAACCTGGCTTGTTGCTTGATACCCCAGTGGAGCCATTGTAACACTGAAACAACCCCCTAGCCCTCCACCACCAACAATTTTTGTTTGTATATATGTTTTGTGATTACAGTTCTTGCAAAACATGCTTTCAGATATTGAATATGTTTATTTATTCTTGTCATTATAAACAATGTGTAAAGTGTTATGCTAAGGATTCTGCATGTTGTTTCTTTATGTCATGTAGCATGAATATTATTCTAAATTTCTGTTGTAGTGTCTTTTTTTTTTTTTATTTTATTGATATTTTAAACTATTTTTGGTGTTTACTTTCATTTTCTTTAAAAATTAAATTTTACTGAATTTTATTTAATTAAACAATTTTTGTGCAAAGAAGGCACAGACAAAAGATTGCACCATTTTTTTTCCTGGCCGTTTGACTGTGTTTATTAAGAGTCTGTGCAAAATTAATGAAGCAATCAAATGAATCCAGTTGGCTGAAATAATTACTTGCATAGACACAATGACTAACATCTTTATCACTGTCTGTTGGTATACTGTCTGTATTATCAAGGGGCATAAGTCATCATGCCTGTTTGCTTATGCAGAAGGTGAACATGACAGACAGAGTTTGCAGAATAGGAAATTTGAAAGCAGATTTATTATGCGTTGCATAAATGACACACTCTTCGTGGTGAAATTTATTTTACTTTTTCCCTGAATGGAGCATGGACCCTCAACCAGCTTGCAAAGAGAACTGATTGCCCACATAAGAAAGAGACAATCAACATTTTTTGGGGTGAGATTATGACAAAAGCTGGAATACATTGTGATAGCAGGAAAGTTGAAGGAGAAGGGAATCAGAAGGAGACCGAGGAAAAAGATGCTAGACAGTTTGACATCAGGCATGGCAAATTATCGGTGACGCTGGAAAGTTTGATAACAGGCATGGAAAATTATCTGTGTCGCTGGAAAGTTTGATATCAGGCAAGGAAAATTATCTGTGTCGCTGGACAGTTTGATAACAAGCATGGAAAATTATCTGTGTCAGAAATAAATAGTTGAAATACATGAGACAAGGTTGTGGTTGGACATGACTACCAACGCCACACATCATGGACTGTACGAATGAGAAGAACGATGAAATATGCCAGACAGGAAATAGTGCAATCTCTTGTATTTTCACTTGAATATAACTTCCTAAGATGTCATTTAATTTTCTTCTTTTGTTAGAGACATTTTATATCACCCATCAAAATGGTTATTATTGACATATTTATTGATTGCACTGAAGTTTGTGAATGTTTGTTTCGCAATGTCGTTACCGCTTTGCTTTTCTTGTTATTCATTTACTCTCTAGGTCAATAAATATTCATTACAATATAGGGAAACCCAGCGTTACTTTGTACTTTCGTTTCTGCTTGTATATGTATGATGGGGGAATGAGGGAGTGTGTGTATGTATATGTGTGGATGGTTGGTTGTGAATACCTCAGAAGAGTGTTGGATTAATTATGTTGAGATGTGTTTGATGTATATTTAGTGGATGGTTGGTTGTGAATACCTCAGAAGAATGTTGGATTAATTATGTTGAAATTCACTCATGACATGGAGTTTCACTATATAATTTAGATTCACTGGTAACTAAGTTCACTTAGCCTGATTCACTAATGACTGAGTTTAAATCTTTTGATCAATTTCAGTGATGACTGCGACTTTAACTTTTCAACTGTGGAGTTTACTTTGTGTCTATGTTTTTAGCTCAGCCGAGCTTTAGTCTGATTCAGTGATTTTTATTCTTCTTTAGTCTTGTTCTGCCTTTCAATGTCATATTTTTATGGTGAATTGATTAAATGTCTTCACGCAAGCGGATCAATTGCATTGTCCCAGACTGTAAGTTCATTTGATTTGATCACTTTCTACTGACTAGTCACCAAGAGTGTAATAAATAGTAGTAGCCAAACTAGAAGGGGACAGATTCGTTGACACACTGGACGACACAAGGACAAAATAGTAAGAAGAATGAACCGGACGGAGGAGGACCCATGGGGAAATACGGATACAAGAAGCACATTGGGTCACAGACAAGAAAGACCGGTCTAGCTACTAAGAGAGGAATATAAAGCATATAACCACAATCTTAGCCACAAAAGTGGCGCAAATAAACCTGCCCTCAAATATAACCAGAGACCATTTGCAGGTTAAACATGGTCGAGTTTTTTGGTTTTTTCTTCTTCTAGAATGGAATGGAAACTCCTTAGTTCCAGCAAAGACTCCAGGAGTCTCCAAAACACCTATACTGGTGAATTGGTACTTCAGGCTACTGCCTTGTGCAGTGAAAGATGTGTGTGTGGTTGGCTTTGACGAGACTGCAGTCTGTTTCAACTTTGTCGAAATGGACAGCGATGGCCATTGTGTGCAGTTTTCGCTAGCACAGAAAGTGGATATAATGGAGAGACCTGTTTGGCGTGAAGTTGGTATTGCGGCTAACTAATTAATCAGATCATGATTCAGTACAACGCTCACAGGCTGGTCGAGAGACTGCCTTGCGCTGGAAATGTTTTCTTCACAGATTTTAAGAATTTGTCTTTGTATAAGACGACCAATTAAAAAAAAAATAAAACTAAGAAATAAATATTTAAAACATTCTATATGGCAGACGGCCTCCAATTTTCAACTGTAAACATTTGGGGAAAACGAATGGTCTTATTCACAGAAAAATACAGTATATTATTTTCAACGGACGATCTCTATCTCTCTCTCTCTCTCTCCCTCTCTCTCTCTCTCTCTCTCTCTCTCTCTCTCTCTCTCTCTCTCTGTGTGCGTGCGTGCGCGCGCGTCTTCTGGTATTTCAATCCTCGCTGGTGGTTAAGTATTCCATGTGTTGAGATTCTCATTGTACGATCTTTCAGAGGAAATTGCAACGCTAATAGAAGACAATATCTCCTACTCGTGGCCTTTCCCTTCAGTCTACAATAAGTTTTTTTCACAGACGTGTCCTCATTCCCAGCCACAATCATCTTCTCTTGAGGTATCACGGACACTTGTTTTGGGGCTACATAGGAACCCTTGCCTGCAGCTCTGTTGGCCTCAGCCTGGCTGTAGGGCTCCATTTCTAAAGCTTTCCATTTTCTTTTGTGGGGTTTACTTTTAAAATGACCAATTAAAGCCTTGTTGTTGAAGTACTTCGCGCAGTGGAGGCAGTAAAACTGGACAGCACCTGGTTTATCCAGATCCACCTGCTGTTTGAGGAGTAAACTCGGCACCTTCATGTCATCATGGATGAGATCCAAATCTCGAGTCCTCCGCTTTGTGCGATATTTTTCCTTTAATGGCTTGTCCCCTATATGCATCTTCTTTCTTCGATATCGCCCCATTGTTTTCACTATTTCAGATGGGATGATTCAAGCACGCTTAGTCGTTTGCCTCGGTCATTTGGAAGCAGACTGTCAATTTTGGCCACATTCGTATTAGTGAATAAGAGCCTTCTCAAGCCAAACCCAAACAACGGATCGACAACATTAATGAACATAATAATCTGCATAGTGAAAAGTGTGGGATCGCGTGCATTTACAAGCAAAGTTGTTGAATGCACACTGAAAGCCTTGGGGTAATGACTGCTTATAGTCTCAAAATATACTCTATAATCTCTCTCCTGGTTTTATTTTACATGTAAAACGTAAGGGCGGTGGGATGTTGAACCAGGTGTTGCCAGCGTAAATAAATGTTCCCTATCCTCGTTTTGAAGTATTTTGGGTATTTATCACGAGAGTCACCCCATATTGCTCGCGCGCAGGATTTTGTGCCGCTTGCCATTCATATCGTAGTCCTAGTTCCCACGGGCTGTCCTATGTTTTTGGGGTGTTACGATTTGGTTTGATATGCCGTGTGTACACACCGCGCCGAAAAGCGGCTACCACAGGTTTGTTTTCGCAACATTATCTGTGAAAGGTAGGTCTCAGGATCCGAGGAAGGGGGAGGCCCCAATGGAGCGGCGCTTAGTGAGCATAGAATCATTGATGTTTTTGTATTATTACGCTCGTTGGCGGTGGCTGTCGAACGCTAGTGGATCTGCTTGAAATGGTCAGAAGAAGGAACACATGACACAAGTAGACTGTTTGAGAGTTCCGAGAATCCCCTAGGAAATCACGCGGCCGCGAAATGGGAAGACTTTCGTGATTTGTACCGTATATTGGTTGTAGAATTCTTCTTCTTTCTACAGCATTCCAGGCCATTGAGGTTCATAGCTGCAGATATCATTCGCCTCCATTTATCTCATTGACTGGCGTTCTCTTCCCTTTATTTGTGTGTGTGTGTGACTTCAACTGTCCGTATGTCTGACAGTAGATTATCTCTCCGCAGTCTTCTTGATCTGCATCGTGGTCTACTTCAAGTCAGCTTTTTTTTTTTTTTGCCGGGGAAGTTTTCTCTCTCTATTATCTGCCACTCATTTTAAATTCCCAACGACTGCAGCTTGTTAGCCCTCACATTGCCAGTAATTCATGATAATGTAATCTATATCATGAATATTGTTGTATCTTCGAGCTCTCTATTTTATATTATTTAAACTCATTGAAGTGGTTTTGTGGACGAATGATGAGAATACCCTTGACAGATAACAACAGTAATGAAGATGTCTTGAACAAAACTGACCCACGAAGAGAACTGATTGCTCCCTAATCAGAAAGAGACAATCTACATTCCTCTAGTAATGCGGTGAGAAGGAGAACATTGGAGTACATCGTGCCAGTAGGAAGTTAAGAGGGGAGAGCAGAGGGCAGTGGGAGAGCGAGAGAAAAGATGCTAAACAGTTGGACATCATGGCATGGAGAATCACCTGTTTCAGAATTTATTGAAAGTACACGATGCAGAAGGTTGAGGATAATCCTGACTACCAAACGCCACACGGAATGGACTTTAAGAAGAAGAAACATATTGATAGACCGAGAATTCGCCGAAACAGTGGGCGTATTCCTAACAATTCACCACAGATGACGTCAGGGGACAGTCCAATATTTTCATTAGCACAAACATAAGACCTGGCAGACATTAGTTTCTGATCTGTGGCTTGCGTACAATGGAACTGAGAATATTCTTGGATTGACGCATCTCACCGTCAATAACTCCATCAATTTTGTCGACTCAAGCACAGGTGCACATACTCTATTCATCGAGCGCATGTGGAGGTCTGCAAAGGAGAGAAACCAGTGTCAGAATGGCACTCACAGACACTTATTAGTCTTACAAGTGTGAGTTTATGTGGTGTAGCCTCACTCAACGTGCGGGTCGCGACGCGTTTGCGACCATTGTGGCCGACATTTTTGCACTCTGGTCACCAAAACAATAATCTGTTGTCTTTGTTTCTGCCGCCGCAACAACAGGTGCCGCATTCCAACCTCTCTCCAGACCTGCTAACGTGTAAAATTGTTGTGATTGTCAATCCGTGCGTGAACCCAGCAGTATCTATTTAGAATGATTGACTCTTTTTAGGACCATAGTATATATCTAGAATGATTGACTCTTTTTAGGACCACACACACATATATATATATATATATATATATATATATATATATATATATATATATATATATATATATATACACAACTGACCCTAACCCCAACCCACCTACGTCCCACGAGAGAGTGCAGCAGCCTAGGTCCTCCTCCCCAGAAAAAAAAGAAGCTAGAAAACACTCACAAAAACTGCATCCCCCCGATTGCACCAGCACACCAAAAACATTTTTTTTTTTAAATGCAAAAAAAAAAAAAACACAGCACAAGAAGCATACTAAACTGGAAACTGCACAGCACAAAACTGCACGACACATGAAATGCCAAATTACTACACAATACAACACACCCTGAAATATTAGACTGTCCCGTGACATGCGGATTTCCCGTGTTTGTGGTGAATTATTGGGATAGAACCAGACATTGTTCTCAAATATTTGCATAAAGGATTCATTTTCTTTAAGTTGTGTCTCTAGTGCTGGCTTCATATTTGCATATGGACAGGGCCGATTTATACTTGAAGAGGGGCTTAGATATATAAAACTTCAGTTACACCAGCTAATTTTAAAAAGGTTTAAAATATATACGCCTTTTAAATATATGGATCTTCCTTTTTATGTGTCCAACTGCTTTTGCCACCCATTTGTTTTCTTGAATAAATCTTGTTCTTTTGCCCTCGACCTTCCCCTTAAGAAGGACTTTTAAAAACCGTATTATGTCTTTTAATGGGGCCAAAATATCTCAGTTCTGTCTTTTGAAAATTTCTTTCAGTAATTCGTTTTTTTATTATCTGCATTTTATTTGGTTTTTTTCTCTCCAAGAAACAAGACCTATTCTTTTGTATATCGATTGTCTAGTTGCCTGATCATTGGCCAAGCTTCTGCATCATACAACAGAGTTGTATATACATACAATTGTACGATTCTTTTCTCAAAAGCATTTAGTTTTGCTTTGATTTTGACAGCGGTGTTGATGTTGACCGTTCATAAGGCAAACGTAATCTACATCATCATCTTCATCGTCTTCATCATCGTTATCAACATCATCTTCATCATCGTCATCATCATCATCATCATCACCGGTATTTTGGGGAAACAATCGTCAAGTTCAACTAGCATCCTCGAAGGGGGAGCTTTAGGTTATAATTGTGACTAGGTTTTTTGTAAATATAAAATGGCTTAGCATTGCACGCCACCATGAGCTCTGAAAAGGACTCCTGCATTGTTGATACGATTAGAGGACATAGACCCAAATATTGTCCCGACCGGTGACGAAGTCGTCTACCGGCGAGCCATTGGGCTCCCGTCGCCGATGATGAATGGTAATCTACTGGATCTAAAATTGCACAGTGAAACCGTATACAGCCAACAATCGCCAGGGTTAGCTTGTGACGTCTTTAAGGGCCAGGGTACGGTCACTGCTGTCTGTATTTATAACTTTTATTGGGTGGGGGGTGTAGACACGGAAGCCGTTAGCCTGAGGATTTAGGGCCAGCTGGCTAGTGCTGTCGCCACGGACTGTGCACGTTAGGGTGGATATTTTTGCCCCCAACAGAAAACTCCTTCACCTTACAGATGGTCGAAACCTGGGTCTCCAGCATGAGATCCCGAGGTTGTAACCGCTCGGCAGTCGCTACTGCCTAGGCAAACAACTTGATATATTTTAAACCGTGACATGTAAGGGAAGTGGAACATTTCATTCCTTGTTGCCTTTACTTCAAAAATAATTCCCGGAAAATGTATATGTCTGCCAACCACGTTTATAAGATCAGATCGATCACTGGACCACATTTTTCGGGAAAATAACATCTGTGGTCCAAACGGAATCCATAATCTACAGTTAGTTGCGTCCCTTTACAGGACATTGCAGAGCCAACCCTAGCAATTTTTGGGGAGCTGTTATGGCTTTTCTAGGCAAATTTACGTCCAGTAGTTTGCCATTGCTCCTGGACGGTTAGCTTCTCGATACCACTGTCGAAACCAACGCAAGGCGAAAAGGCCCGCAGTTGGAATCGAACCTCGGCATTACGGAGCGCGTTAGCAACGCCTAAGCCACAGATGCATGATGTTTTGAAGTTTGGGATCTTGAACAACAGATCAACATCATGGCCCACGGGTAGTAACCCATAAGTGCTCCGTTCAACTTCTAACTCAAGTCTGAGTCCGAAGTATCTCAGCGCAGTGCACTAGCTCCATAGCCCTGGCGAGAATCCTGAAATATTTTGGGTAGATTTTTCAACTCCAAATTTTGCCCAGGCTACTTGTTTCGATTTCCAACTGCCACGGGATTTTGTTACGTGCGAAAAAATACACACGGGCGTCTGATCCCACTCCCCAGAAACCAGGGGAAATTACCACAAGTCCACGTAAACAAACCCCAGCCCTCACCTGGGCCTGAACAGGGAACCTATAGCACACAAGGCCCCCCCCCCCCGACACATAATGTATAACCCTGGAAAAGTAAATATCCTTTCATCTGCTTTCATTAGAAACTACCTGGTTTTTTGGGAGACCCATAGAATAGAGTGTCGAACGAGGCATAACACTTTCAGTCAAGCGGACAAGTGAAGCGTAACAAATTCCCTAGCTTGTAATAAATCGAGCTCTTTTGAAGTGTGATATTGGCAAAGCTCCTTCAGACAAAGAAATGTCTGTGTTCAAGTAGTGTGTTTACTACTGGCGCGGCGTGTGTCAACAGTGTCGTATAAGAAGTCAGGGTAAGCCGAAGGTGTTGTTTATGAAATTCACTGTCGTGATGACGTAGCATGTCCTAAGTTCGTAAGTAGTCCACTTGGCTATATTGTTTATTTAATAATATACGCAAAAAATACAATAAATTTCTCTGCACTGTGCATCAGTATATT